CTTGAACAGCTGTGACGAGCTGTATAGTGTGTTACACACGAGAGGCGTCAGGCGGCAGCACAAAGCACCTTTTCTTAACACATATATATAGTCAATTATTTCTTTATTACTTATGTCCTCTGCGATAAATGTCAAGTTTGAAATAAAATATTTTTCCGAAACAAATAAACAAAACAAAATAATAGTGTGAACCTTTTTTTTATACAATCTTAAAGAATATAGGATAGGAATAAAGAAAAAAAAACGCACGTAATTAAGTTATACAACTAAAAAAATGGTCGCTAAAAAGACGATGCCGATATCACAGTAGCTGAAGTGCTGATGAAGTCTCTCAATGCCAACCTTTTATTTTAGCTTGCGATTAAATACATCCCTGTTTTTTAAGCGAAAAAAATTTTGCTTAAGAATTTTATACAAGATGTTAGGAACAGAGAAAGCTAGGTCAATAATAATCAAGAAGATTCATATAAAAAAGTACCATTGCGTAATCAACGAAGTGCCACATGCATAAGCGTAAGGGGCCAAGATTTTGAAAGTCTCTAGATATTTATGACACATTGAAAAAAATATATGCAAAAGAAAGAGCCGTTACTTATTATCAAACTCAGCTGCAGAAAGTGCGTCAACGACAAGGTCCATGGGTTGGTAAATATTATGATTATATAAGCCCACTGCTGAGCCGTGCTAAAAGCCCTTGATGGAAGATAAAGGCAATACATACAACATAAATATGATGACCCCTATAAAAGACATGGCATTCAATATATTAATAAAAAGACTAGCACCTGTGATAAGCCAGCAGATAGATGTAAAAGAATCTGCTTTCGTAGCCAATGCTTTTGAGTATGCATTCAGATTGGCAAGCCGAATGAGAGTGGGTATAATCCTGGACACAAGATACCAAGGACAACTTTGCAGTAATTTTAGCAATAATTTTAATAACTTATACCCACAACAAAATGAGTACCCTGACAAGCCATTTTCTTCATATCAAATAACACAAGTTAACGAACAACAGATCGAAAATCAGAATTATCACGCTCATAGGCAGTATAATAATTACCAAAATAATAATAGACAATATTAACAATATATCAAAAGGACCAAATTACTGTGGAAATCATCAAAATCAGGACAGAGATCTGAATTTTTAAAATCAGTCGAGAAACTCTTATTATTATCAGAATTAATTGAGACAATAAAGTAACGAAAATCCTAACGATTATTACGCTCAAAGAAGTGCTAGTTTCAAGCCTAGGAATAACTAAAAATACTGAAGCAGAAACCTGAATAATAATAGATATTCTAAAGAAATTAATTATAATGGTTATAAACAACAAAGTTTTAATCATAGTTATCAGAATCAGAAATTTAAAAATCAGTGTGAACCAAGAGATAACCGTTTGCGGCGACATTTAAACTCTCAGGTGGCTAACCCCAATCATCATTTAGAGGTCGCCTCTAATGGCATAATTGAATCCCTACGCTGAATGTTTAAGCGCAAGTTGTAAATATAGCAACATAATCGAAATAGTCCACATAAGTACGTTCTAAGGACTTGGCGTAGACGACGAGCCTACAAGCATAAGTTTGTCAATTCTAGAAAGGAAAGATCAATTTATCACACTCATGCTCGATAATGGTGTCACTACAAATCTGATTAAATAAGATCTGTTGCTTCCATATCTACGTGTAGAGACTAGTGAGATTAATAATCTTACGGGAATTACACCCAACCCAGTTTTAACTAAAGGAATAACGTTTATGACTGTACAAGGAAAACCTATAATTTTGTATGTGATCCCTAACGATTTTCTGATCAAAGATGGCAGTTTATTGAGTCATAGTTTTCATAAAGAACAACGAGCCACGTTATCATAGTATCACGACGCTATAGTATTAGATAATAACGTAAAGAACCCCATTTCTTTTTTTGAAATTCTTGAAAATACTGAGCGATTTAAAAAAGATGGAAAAGAGCGAAATACAATGAAACCTAAGAAACAAGCACAGGAAAATTAAATTCTACCTACAAGTCTTACTACTAACAAACAGACAGAGATCCTTAGAGATACAGTTGCCTAACTAAAATTCTATGATGGTGTAAGTTGTATATATACCTATACATTGTAGGTCTGCCTAAAAGGCCAAATATACCTCAATACGAAAAGTTTGACGATACAAAAGCTGATCTTTCTTTTCGAGATTAATTTGATACATTGATCTTATCAGAAATGTTTCTATACATTATGAAGTATATTTTTCTTAAGCTCACTAATAGTAAGAGAGATAAGAGTGGGATACACCTTGAAAAAATTAACAAAACGACCAAGATATGCACCAATCTCATACCATTAAACAGAGTAAAAATGCACCTAGTGTAAAGCAACATTACCTTAATAAGGAACGAAAAATCAGTAATAAACCAACTAAATATACGATCAAGGGTTGAACACGTTAAATAGTAAGAATTAATTTAATTAATACTAATTTAACTGAAGGGCAGTTACCACGAGTCAACGCAGTTTGTGATAACGTATATTTAGCAGAAGGAATAGTTAAAATGACAACGGTCAATGTATATTATGGCAATAAACACTCATAAGGATGATATTACGATTAAAACAGACTGAAGAGAAATTTTACCCTTCAAATATATTGTACCTAAATTTTATTCTAAAACTATAAGCAAATATGGGAGACCACTTATTAAAATTAAATAAGATAGAATAAAAAAAACAAAAAAAAAATTTGTGAATACCAGTCATTTAAGCTTGGAAGAACAAGACCAAATTTATCGACTGACTTTCAAATTTTGAGAAATCTTTTTGTTACTGGAAGACCCCTTACCCTGTTCTTATCTTGTTGCACATAAAATGCTGACGAAAAATAATCATTCTATTAACACTTAACTATATTGTCGTCCACCAATATAAAGACTAGTTGGCAGAATCTGTATACTTATTAGTTTTTGATTTAGCAAGTGGATTTTAACAAATTGCTATGGCTTAACGTGATAAGTATAAACAGCATTTACGACACTCCATAAATATTACTAATACAGATGGATGCCCGATGGTTTAAAAATGCACCTTTCACGTGCCAACGACTAATGGATCTCATATTAAAAGATTCATTGAATGTTGAAACGTTAGAGTATTTAAATGATATTGTCATTTACACAAACGATCTAGTAGATTGTAAGGTTAGATTACTTTTTAACTGGTTAGGATCAGTGAATATGGTTCTCCAGCCAGATAAAGCTCAGTTCTTGTGAAAAGAAGAAATATTTCTGGGGCATATAGTAGGTTAACGAGGAATTAAACCAGACCCTAAAATAATACAGGCCATTATAGAATTTCCCCAACTAAAAACTTTAAAAAATATTAGACAATTCTTAGGATTAGCAAGATACTTAAGATACTTGATTGAAGATTTTTCAGTAATAGTTAAGCCATTATCAGATTTATTAAAAAAGGAAGAAAAATTTGAATGGACTAAAGTGCAAGAAAAAAGCTCTGAAATACTAAAAAACCATCTACGTCAAGAGCTTATTTTACAATTTCTTGACTTAAGTTAATCATTTAAGTTAATAACAAACGCGTCTTACTACGCTTTTGGAGTGGTACTAAGTTAAGAAAAAGACGGGCATAACTTTTCTGTTACCTATCTTTCAAGAACTCTAAATAAAGATGAAATGATTTATTCTACAACTAAAAAGGAATGCTTAGCCACACTATACGCAATGAATTATTTTCGTTCGTATTTATTAGGAAATGGATTCATTCTTATGGCTAGTCATGTGTCATTGAATTGGGTGCATACAAGAAAATATCCGAGTTAGCATTTAATGCCCTTAATGTTTAAATTCACTGATAATGAATATACCTTTCAATACAAGCCATGAAAACTCAATACTAATGCTAATGTATTATTTGAAACATCAATAGGACTATATCTTTATGCGAAAACCGATATAAACCCTAAATTACCATTACCAAGAGTTATAATGATAGGTCGAAAGAAGATAGAAGAAGAGAAAAAAACAGAATAACAAAATCAGAGGAACAGAGAAGTGGAAACATCTAATTAAACGACTATCAAACGTAAAACACTACCAACAACCTTAAAAAATACAGTGGAAGGTACAAAACTTGGGAGAGTGACCAGATCATAAACAGATGTACCTCAATTAGCCAAAGGTCCTGGATGACCCCTGATTCTAAAACAAACAAGGAACGACTAATATAAGGTCATAGTGTGATTGCTCAAAAGACTCGAACAAAAACATGTCCACAACCGTAGACATCATCTACATCTCGTTCTAGTATATTAAAAAATGTACTTAAAATACCAGAAATTGTCCTACCTTATTTGAAGTGAATTTTTTAAAATCAGTAGCCCCAACATCACACGCTAGCGACACGAACACAGAAACTGGTGGAATGAACAAATCGAAAAATGCCATAGTTACCAAACAAAGATATAATTTCCCTTGGTGCATCGTCAAGATCAAGCATGTTTTTCGAGAATGATCCAAGTGATACTGAATAATCGTCAGAAGAAGATACACAACCATCCGTATATAATACAAGACGAAGTGGATGACGGCAAGAATTAACTAAAATGGAAGCAGACATAACTACCAATACTGACTTAGACTCAGACGCTACAAATACTAAAATTATCTCTCTGAGTGAAGGTTCAAATGACGACGTCTTTGAAGACCAACCTAGAACTACGAATAGTAATATTAATGAGGTAACCCATCGAGAAGTACAGAAGTTAACAAAAAAATTCAACTAAAGTCTTCAAAAATATTCAGACAAGTCTTATAACGATGATGAACCCAAGCAAGCTAATATGTTTCTTTATCAGTAACTTGGTTTTCTGATCAAGACAAGCCGGATTCTGAAATTCAGGACATAATAATTAAAATGGTCACCTACGATTCTGATAAATATGATGATTCTGTATAAGATGAAAAAATTGCAGATCTATCAAGACGTGCAGCGGACTTTCAACCCCTATTTAATAAAGAGAAAATTTTATGAAAATGTATGACAAGTGGGAAAGTATCAATTAAATTCCGTAGTTAATAAAATACACCCTTGCGTTCTAGTGTAACAATGCATACCAGTACTATTATAACAAAAAACAGACTCTCTAAGGCACCACACTTAAAAAAAATAGCAGAAGAAGCCCAGGTAACTTGAATAAAAACAACAAACAAAGAAACTGCAATACTACTAAATCAATGAATCAAAGTATTGCACCTAATTTCATGCTTACGTCGTATTCATACCCTTTCTCACTGATCAATCAATACAAACAACTTTTGATAAAACACTTATACAAATTACTGTCTGTTACAATAAAGTTGATTCTTCCAAAAATTCAAAAAACGTAATAAAATAATACAAAATCTAATAAAATAAAAGAAAAATAAAAGAATGATTTTATAAGCCTGGTTAAGAGAAATGATATTTTCGATAGCGTTTGAACGTGCAGCAAATGTCGAGAGAAGAAAATTGAACGAACAAAAACAAGAGAACCCTTAGTGCTTACAGATACACCTGATGAAGCCTTCGATAAAGTTTTTATTAATACCGTCGGTAACTTAAGAATAATGCCAAATGGTAAATGCTATTTGGTATCCATACAGTGTAAATTAACTAAGTACATTTTATTGGTCCCTGTACCAGACCTAAGATCAAGCACACTTGCCAATGCTATGGAACAGAATTTAATATTAGTGTACGGTGTGCCAATCTTCTCACTGCAGCAGCATATCATCCTCAAACAAACGAATTACGAGAGTGAAGTCATGCTGCCCTAGCTGACTTTATGAAAACTTACTGTGAAACTTGAGCGAGACAATTTAGCCTAATTTGCATCCTTCACGAACAACACGAGTGTACATGCAGCAACAACTCTTACGCCCTATAAATTAGTATTTGAAAAACTAGCCAAGTTGCTCTTGAAGATACCTAAAGATAAAAAGTTACGATTCTATTCACTGTATTTCGAACATCTTATTAAGTGACTTCAAGAAACACAAATTGCGGCAGGAAATCAACAAATAAGAATAAAAATGTAAGCAAAGCTAAGATACGATGGAAAATCAAAGCTTTTAAATGTTTATCCCAAGATTTACGTTTGGATAGAGTGAAAATTGCGTTTCCATCAATTTAATCACTATTATAATGAACTCTTAGGTTAACAGTTTTAGAGGGAAATTATGTGTTACTTAAAAAAACCAATGGTAAAATCCTAGGCAAACATACAGAGAAATTGAAACTTACATCTCACTAACAGTATCCTTGTAAAATTTATATTTGACATGTCTTTTAAAAAGAAAAGAGCACACCGATGCGAATTATATTACCCATCTTAATGTCAATAGTGATTAAAGATTGCGCAGATTTAAACAATGATGGTCATGGCAACTATAGCATAGAACTACTTAAAACAAACCCTGGAATATACTATAAACGAATTCCTACTACAAAAACTAAAAGAGCTGATTGGAACGTGGTAATGTGGCTTGATATTATTTAATTCATGTCAGAACCCACACTTACTCAAGGATTGAATAAAACCTTCCGATATTGAATTGTACAGTTTGGTTATTCTAATTGCTTTTAATGTATGAAAACGGCCCTCTTGAATATAAAGATAAAGCGATTGTTAAGGTGTCGAGTAACGTTATTTAACATAATAAATGATGTGGAAACTTATTTGGGAGATATCGTTATTGCACCACCCAGCATACGAAAAAAAAAGACACGAAAATACTACAAAGCACCGTGAGCATGTTATGAAACAATTTGCTGACACATGAACTCCAAGACAAGATCTTACTGTCAACAGATATCGTATTTATTTATCAGCTCACCAAGGAAGTACAGAGGCTACTTAAAATCACATTATCTGTTACGATAAAAATTTGATCGACATCTTGCATAATGTACAAAAACATCGAGCACATTTGAAGCTATTTCCTCTAAATATTCTTAGAACTGTAGCCCAGGATGTAAAGAACCTAGCAGAAAATTTAGAATTTGTAGCACTAATAGAAAATCTTTATGTTGGTGAATTAATTATCTTATACTAGGCCTATAATGAAGACATGCAGTTTGGTACCCCCACGCTTTACACCCTAAAAGTATGGGATGAACTTATAAATCAATAGTAATTTAATATTGTTTTTCTTCCAGGCTGCACGATAAACCCTGATAATGGAATAACCACAAAATTTAGAGTTAACATAATTCATTCTTTACATAAAGTCATTTAACAGTCATAAAATGAATGAAACTTCGAGGAAATGCACATACTTTCAGATTAACATAGTTATACACATTGAGCTATGATCACCAATCACAATAATGATTTAGTTCATATAAAAAGCCCATAAAACACTTCAAATTGGAGAGAAAGCTCTAATATTTTCTACTTTTAAGACGAAATTCGCAATTTAACAACCACAAAGGACTTCTTCATCAACATTACCAAAAAGTGACAATGACTTACCAAATATCGATTGAAAAAGAGTTATGTGTCTTTTACCATGGGATATGGAAGAAACAAAAAGGGAAAAAGATTTTTTTTATCATTTTTTTTATATAATACCCAAGACAACTGTTATACTGTCAGAAATTAGCGAGAAAAATTATTCAAGGGATATACAAAATACATGCATCCTAAAATCAATATTCGAACATTGCAGAACGATGAAACCAAGAATTGCACGAAATACGCTGAACCAGTTAAAAGGAGTGCCAAATACAAAATGAACAAAAAATTGATTCACCCATTGCGTTAACAAGAAGTTGAGTTAATGACTTATAAAAAACATTTGAATACATACAGAAGACAATGCTCTACACAATCTTCCGAAACAAAGGTAATCCGTGCTAAAATCATTTATCTACAAAAAAAAAAAAAGTAGCAAAAATTCAGCCACACCATTCAACTAGCTACATTCTACGTCGAAAAACACATTACTTGATTTTTAGATTTTAACTTTAAGATTTGTAAAATTAATAAATGAATTACATTTAGTTATTTGTTACTGTTTCATATGCAAACTATAAAAAAAAGAAAATATATATATATATCAATGAATGAAAAATATAAAAATAATTTAAAAAATAACTACTATGCTTTTTATTTTACTAGCGCATGTTGTATTTTATCACAGTTGCATTTAACTCTATTTTAAAAAATGTTTTCCTAATATTAAGCTTTAGCTAGAATTAATGTAACTCATTTTATTGTATAGTGAATTTACAAATATTTCGGCACAGCATGATAAATAAAAATCGTATGTATTAATGTTTTTTCTACTAATTATTTAATAGTTTTATAAACTTTTTTTTTTTCATTTCTAATTCCTTATTTATTCTATAAATTCTTACAATTATTGACAGCACAAAATACACTAAAACATTACTCATACATATAGAGTATCCATTGATAATCCTTATAACACCCATCATATTTACGCTTGAAGGATTACATACACGATGGATACACAAAACTCTAAAATTATAGAAGCAATAGCTAATGGAATCCAACTTAACACACCGCTGCAGGGGGATTATACCCGGCTTATGTTGGAAGAGATTTTATAGAACTTCGAGATAGAGCTGTCCTGAGAGTGGGAACTCTGTGCTAGGGGTTACTCAAGCTATGTGGTGGTGTTTTGTTCACCATCGAAGGCAAAAATGGTGGCTGACCATTTAAATACAGCACCAACACTACAGAAGCCACTGAACTTATTGTCTAGTCCATTAAATAATGTGAGGAATCAGGTAATGTCAATGGCACCTGAGTCCCAGATAATTAGAAAACAAATGAAAGTCCACAATGTATCAATAAATAGACTATTAATAAAAAGAATAAACGTTAGTTAAATATAATGACGGACTAATTACTCAATGGACACTAAATAGAAGTGTCTTAAAATAAGTTCGGTCTTATGTTTTTATTTAAAGAACAGCCATGTACTGCTTCGTACACCGGGTATGAGGTCGAATATTACCAGCTACGTGATACGGCAGTTGCTGAAGCGACCCTAAATGAAACATCACTCATCAAAATAGTAGGGGCAAGCTAATCACCAATAAAAAACGCCCAAGCTCTGGAAAAGAATGTAAGACTATCCACAAAAGTGAAACCAGCTGCAAAAAATAATAAAAAGGGACCTGGTTCAATACCACGATTTGTAAGAGTAAATCTTACTGGGACTAAAATAAGCATTCTCTAATTAAAAAACTTTTTAATACAAACTGTATCATAAAGTTTTCGAAACACACGTATTTAATAGGAGATATTTATTTTTCGGCCAAACAAGGGAAGATATTATTCCCATTTATATAACATATAGATAAGCTATGTGGACAGAATACATGCACCAAAAAACGTAAGCACTAAAATGGCAAAAACAGATTACACTGGCAG